ATCTCAGAATAGCTGCAGACAAGAGGCACCTCCTGCATGAAGCCCTGGATAGAGCTAAGAGTCACAGATTAAAACGAGGAAAGTCTTGGATGGCATTAGCTGAAGACACATTTAGACGTGCGCGCAGGCTTGATAAATTTATCGGGGAGAGAATGGGTCAAAGTGTCTGATTATTTTTCAGATTTGTGTAGGGTTCTAATCTCCTTGGGACGTTAGTGCAGGGACTGGCCAGAGTGATGTGATTGTATATACAGATGGCTCTGTGTTGGGAGCATACGAAGTGCATTGTGGTTCAAAGCGAAGGCGCATTGACGTCGCTTGGTGCAACAAAGCCTGGCAAATGATATCACATCGTCTAGTTTAAGAATGGATGTGGAGGCAGTCACTGCTGCCTTCCGCTGGCTTAAGAATCTGCTGTACACACATGCCGTCATTGTAACTGACTCAAAGAGCATGCTGAGAAATGTGGAGACAGGCATGCATCTTTTGATATTTTCTCTAGGTAATGCTGGTGTATTGGGAAATGAGCAGGCAGATGGACTGGCCGGTTCTGCACCACTTAGTAGTAAACTGATGAATAACAAGCTGGATGTTATGAGGGCCCTTTGGATGCGAGTAAACAGTGTCGAGGAACAGATAGATCATTACGGTCTGTTGAGAAGCACTGCAAGGAGTTACAAGGGGATCTGGCCGACGCTCAACACGCAGGGGAAAGGCGAGACGGATATACAATCAGACAGATAATGGTACCATCAGAATTTTACCTCTTCGCTTGCTGCTTAAGATGTGGACGGAGCGCTTATGGTGGTGTCAAGAATGCTATTATGTCGATTTCTAATTCCCTGAGTTCAACTCGTAACATCCCAAGTGTAACTCGTTATAACCCTTAGTCCGAGTTATTTCTAGTCTAACGGGCGATATCCAAAGTTTAACCAGATTTCTTGGTGGCATGCGCCTGCCGGTAGCAGCTACAAATCTTGACACGTGCGTCAGTAGTTTATCGCCACGTGGCTGTATTTGTCTACACATGGCTGTATTTGTCTACACGGGGCTGTATTTGTCTACACGTGGCTGTATTTGTCTACACGTGGCTGTATTTGTCTACACGTGGCTGTATTTGTCTACACGTGGCTTGTATTCACCTACGCCGTGAAATTGTAAGTTAGTATGTATGAGAACGTCACTTAACTATACAGGAGGCCTGCGTGGTCTTGAGGCATGGCGTCCGCCTCCAGTGCTAGAGGTTCCGGCTTCAATCCCCGTTAACTCTTTGAGTCCCAAGGAAGGCATCGTACGTTCATAAGTTACTACCTAAAAGCCTAATGAAGACAAGATGTGCTGCTTTTACGTCTCTTTTGACTTCCTTTTGGTCTTTGATGCTAAGCCCCCTGGGACTGAAAGAGTTAGGGCCTGGGATTTTTTTTTCCTATGGACTTAGACTTCTAGTAACTCCTCTTAGTCTCTAGGTAATGAGATCAGACGCCCGTGAGCATTGTGGCGCACCTAACAAATCCGTAGGCGAAAAGAGTAGCCCGTGGAAAATTTGAAGTTAAAAAATATACACAGGCATTTTAGGACCTCGCCGGTGCTACAGAGCATGTGAACTGTGCCGAACCCATGAAATCCATAGACAAAGAACAAACCAGATTGTTGAAATGAACAAAATTTATAGTTTACAAAACGAAACATTTACCACTTTTATAAAAGCATATATATATATATATATATATATATATATATATATATATATATATATATATATATATATATATATATATATATATATAAACAGATTTCTTGAAGGCGTCACATAAAAACCCAGATCTTGCGGGAAAACCCAGGATTGGTAGCCCTGGTTACTACCCGTGTGACATGATGTTGATCCGGTGTTTGAACTCCAAACCTAAATCTAAATTATACACGAACAGGGGCGAATGATTCGGAGTGTGGTGAGGGGGGGGGGGTGGAGAAAGAAAGAGAGAAAGAGAGAGAGAGAGAGAGCAGAGAGGGGTGTAGAAAAAAAGTTGGAAGGGCGGGGAAAAAAAAGGGGGGGGGGGTGGGGAATTGTGGTTTAAGCTGCAAGCGCTCGGAACTGTGTTTGGACATTTTCATCTACAGTTATTATTATGTGTTTGTTTACTCACATTTTTGTCGAGAAATAGCATTAGAATTATTTGCTAGTAAACCAATTATTATTTATTATTATTATTATTATTATTATTATTACTAATGTGAGGTCGTGGTTTCGGGTTCTAAATGGGGCCTGATTTTTTTTTAACATATGACCTGGGCTCCCAGGTCGATTAAGCCTTTTTTTGTGAGTGCGAGCTGCAGTCACGGAAAGCAAATTTGGCCGGCGGAATGCTGACCACAATACTATCAATTGGTCTATAAAATATAGTTCTAGCCCTATATGCTCAATACGAATAGGGGCGTGGAAAAAGATCCTTTAGTTTATTTATTATAAATAATACTATTAACTATGCACTCAAACAAGGCTTAGATTCACAGAGGCCCCTGTCGCTCAGAAAATTTGTCGGGTTGGGTGGGAGGGGGGTAACCCTAAGCCCATCCCCTACCCCAAAGTTTTCTTTATTTCTGCGCCCCTTGACTGTAAATTAGATTGAATTCTGATGACGTGTCGCAAAGGTGTATGTTACACTGATTTGTAAAATACCGATTGGTTGTCAACTGAAAGAAGTAGGGACTTGCTCGTCTATAAAGCCTGACAGCTTGGCTTTACTTCGACAAACATAAATATGACGTGGCGCTTCTTCAGTTTCAGGGTTATTGCTCTGGCGTTTACTGCCTGCTTTCTTCATGGACTTGCTTCTGGCATCAACGTGGCAGGTAGGTGGCTCACTCGTTCTTATCCCATAGCTTGTAGGTTGCAACTGATGTAGCCGTTAGGGGTGCCATAATTATAGGTTGTTTAGAGGCTGAACGGGGTATCAGGGATCTGACTTTTTGTTCTGCCGTCCAGATTGGGAGTTTTAAATCTCATTCACATTTACATAACCAGTCATACCCAACCATTAATGCATACACTTACACATATTCATAGACACATATACAAGCATGTGTACAAACACTCTTATATACCCTTACATACAAACTCACACATACACATACACACACACACACACGCTATGTCTCTCTCAACTTGCTTACACTCATGCACACACATACATATAATTACACATTCACACACTCAAACATATCCATACATACACAAACACCTAAACAACCGGAAACACATTCGTATCTGCCTTGTCATGTATCAGTTAACCACCCACTGCTGCAGTTCTAGCCAGTCTGTCTGCCTATTCATTGCCTACCACGCCGGCATTGCCCGGAGAAAAGATCCAAAGTTTGCTATCTACCTGTGACCTTTCCAGTGACGCTTGCAACTCTGCTTAAAGCATCCTTGTCTTCACCTTTTTCAGCATGCTTTCTGTTACAATTTCGACATGTGTATGCTTCTTGTTCTCTAGCCACCAGAGAGCTGCAGTTACCGCCTCCACCTCCATTCTTATGCTAGATGTTTTTGATCATATACTAGGCTGTCTTGCACTAAAGATTCTCTATTGGCTTTCGCTACGAATCCCCAGACATCTCTCTTTCCTCTCGTCACCGAACCGTCTGTATAGATAATCAGATTACCTAGACGTGAATTGTGAATCAACTGTTGAACTTCAACCTCCGTAGCACCAGCTGGCCACTCTCTGCAAGCCCGGCCCAATGAGATCATAACCCTACACAGGTCAAACTTTTCCGCTGGTACTCTGACCCAATCCTCTCCTCGCGAAATATTTTCCAGCATGCATACTTGTCTTATTGTGTCTTCTGCTAGAGCCATCCACGATTTACCCCTTTTCAGCTTCTGACCCTTGCCTGCAGCTTAAATTTCATACAGAAGGTGTTCCCTTTCTGCAGCTACTCTGAGGTATGACAGCCTGCAGCACCTTTAGCCAATCTGCAGTAGTCCACAATGCAAGGCTAAATCCTGTGCACACAATCGGGGTGTCTTTTGTACAGCCCAGGATCAGCCACATAGCTTCATTCTGTATGCTCTCCAGTTTTACTAGCTGACTTTTCGAGTCAGTGAATAAAACCGATCCTTAATCAATCCCTGAGATGATTAAGTGCTGATAAAGTGTGAACAGCATTCTCTGCTCCATGTCCATAGCTGCCATAATCTTTAGTGGATTTAGACCTTTTTGAGCCTTTGTCACAACTCCCTCTATGTGATCCCTTAAAAACAAACGTCTGTCAAAGGTGATTCCCAGGTACCACAGTCTGCTGTCTCTGTTGATGTCCCTTTCCATTTATTTTGAGTCTGGGAACATCAGCTCTAACCATTCTATTGTCCAAGGAACACCATAGAATGTTGCCTTTTCTGGGTTGATCACCTTATCTACTGTTGCCTGTAACTCTTCGGCTATTTGAATCCGATCTCTCGCCCTCCTGTATACAAGAACATCCTCTGCAAATGTCAATATTCTGCCAACTCTAGGTGTTTCCAGGCAGGCAATCTTGCTCGTAAAAACATTGAGCAGTACATGAGAAATTGTAGATCCCTGTGGCATGAGGTCCATGAACCCAGGGGGAGAGCTACCCGGCGAGTATATAAAACAGCTGCTATCCAATTCACCAACCAAGGGCAGACTCTCTTCTCCATAAGCCCCCGAGTGTTGAATGATTCTTGCCAGGTTTAGGAAGTGGAATCAGGTAGCTGTGCATCCACTCTCTCTGGGATTTAAGCTTGCCCTAATGATCTGGATGAAGCAAGCAGTTATCTCCAACACGTTTAGCATCTCTCATGTCTTTCATGTGGGGAAAAAACAAGAAGACGACGAATAGGATATTAGTCAATCAATCAATCGACAATCACATAAACTGCCGATAAACAGTTCAGGTTATTTGATAATAACTGAATCGATCATAAATTCGATCGGGTAATGAAGGTATCACTCCATCAATAATTATTTTTGTTTCAGAACCGGTGCCAGGGGCCAGTCAAATATGCGACACCAAGGAGTGTAATCTTACAGGTAATATGTTTATGTGTTTGTCCCATCCCTGAAGAGGTTTCAGTTAATCTAGTCATCTCTTTATACAGAACTTTTCTGTATATTCATTCGTCCAATCCGTTTTGATCTGTCTAATCTGTTAAATATTACACATGGCATCCAGCCCGGAACCTTTGAACTCTAACATAAACATCTTCTCACCACTCTTGTTGTTCAATTAGTCCATTTGTTTTCTATTTCGGTGACTGCTTAGCGATCCCGTTCGTGCTTGTCCTCATGATGTGTCAAATATTTCATTATTGTTATGGGTCATAGCTTTTGATTGCGGTGGTTGTCCAGACTTGAAAGTTGAATATTGTATATATTTAGTTATTTCATTATGTATTTTACTAAAGCTAAACCCTGTTCACATTTACCTATTTAATACCAGAATGACTAACAAGGAATACCTGAAAACTGCATACAAGTAGAACATTATGTACAGCAATGAGAAGAAGACAAAGTTATTTAATCATGCGATGAAGAAAAGAGCACTAGAAAATATCGTGACAGGTGGAAAGAAGATACAGAGCCTGACCATGAGGTATGATGGTGGATGGCTTAAGACAGTGGAAAGGATGAATATCGTTAGTGGATTTGATCGACTACAGAAAAGACTAAGATCTGTGGAGATACATGAACGCCTACGCCAGCTGGCAAGACACTCAGCGATGGTGAATTGTATAAGCTACTTTATTTGAGCATTGTATACATTTAATTATCCATTGATGTATTTCACTTGTTGCACATTGTATTGTATATATTGAGTTTTTTAATTATGTGTTGTCCCACCTGGCACTGCAGCCAGCAATGTTGGGGGCAGCTAACTCTCTTAGGAGGGTGACACGCGTAAACTAGTAACCGCTGCTGCCCCGTGATCACACAAGCGAGCCCCACATCCTCGTGGTGCAAGTGGAAACTGTCTCCGTGAGGATCCAGGCTTACAGGCAAATTGAAATACTGACGAGACGCACTATGCTTTTGACAAATAGATCGGATGTGAAAAAATGCTATGGTATGGACACGTAATACGATTTAACGGGATCTCAAAAGCAACTCTACAGACCTCAGTAGGGCGGAAGAGGAGAAGAGGCAGACCAAGAAAGACATGGGTACAGAACGTGATTACCTGGACAGGCCTTAGGTATGCATCCATGAAGGAGAGAGCTGACCAAACAGTCAACAGAAACTGGTGACCCAACGATCTGCAGTGTTACCTAAAGATGATGATGACGATGATGATGATGATGATGATGATGATGATGATGGTGATGATGATGATGATCAATTAGGTTCTCCGCTAAAGGTAAACATTGTACATGTTTAATTTCTTCATTATGTTATTCAATATAGAAGAAAATGTCACTAACTTAAAAATCTAGTCTGAAAATAAAAAATTTATACAGAAACAAAACAGCAATGGAGACTTTTCGACAGAAGTCAAAAAAAGGATGGCAATAGCAATGCATAGATTAAACAGCGGTAATTTATGGTAAAGCCTTAGTAGAGAAATCAAAGTGAAAATGTTGGGAGCATGCGTCTTTCCTGTAGCAACATACGAATGTGAGCCATGCACTCTCCCTTAATCATTTAGACAGAAAATAGCAACTTTTGAGCTGTCAGACAGGACCACACAAAGACCTGAGAACATTCTGCAAACCTGCCCACTAGATTTACAACATCGAAAAGAAAACTCGCCTCAAGAGGAAATTGTACAGAGCAAGCTATGAAGAAGCATGAAGGACCTGCAGCTGACATGCGAGTTCCTAGAAGCAACCCACCTGATGGTCTGACCTGAGTACACGAAACCAGACGCACAGAAGAAAGAAGAAGAAGAACTGAAATCATATAGAATAATTCTTAGAATAACGTGGATAAAAAAAGACAAGAAATACTGACATTCTATCAGATCTTAACATTCTATCAGATCTTAACATTCTATCAGATCTTAACATTCTATCAGATCTTAACATTCTATCAGATCTTAACATTCTATCAGATCTTAACATTCTATCAGATCTTAACATCAAGGAAGATTGGCTGGTAAACAGCATATGGTCTCGGAGATCTTTAAATATATCAGTAGATCTTAACATTAAGGAAGATTGGCTGGTAAACAGCATCTGGTCTCAGAGAGGGGAATATTGTTATATCTGGCACAAAGGCGGATTGGAAAGTAAAGTAGCGGAAGGCGTGTCGCCAGAAAACTGGCAGGGCCGACCACCATAATGGGTACAGGACATGCGAGACCTCTTAGGTTGGAAAGTGCACGATGATACGGTTAACATTACGCCTGCCACCTTTACTTCCCAGGACTTTACCTGGTTCTACTTTAAGGCCGGGTCGACCTAGGAGCCAAATCCATTGTTGAAAAGAAAATGTTGCTTCTGTCAAGAACTCAACCCAAGATGGGACGATCCGCGGCTCCCTATTTAATTAGCATTTCACTAAAGTTGAATATTTTTTAACATTTATTAATTTAATCGTGTATTTCACAATTTTGTTCTTTCAGCTGCCCACCTAATTAAAAACATGAACACGTCGGCTGATCCCTGCGAAGACTTCAACGAATTCGCCTGTGGTCGCTTCATTAAAGAATCCAAATTCCCACCCGGAAGACCAGTGGTTGACGTCTTTACTGCAATCCACGACCGGAACACTATCCTCCTCAGAGGTAAGTTCATTGTTAAAAAAAAAAAAAAAAAAACTCTACGGGTGGTTGAGTGAACTACAATAGACAGTGAAGTTCTTACTAGAGACAACATGAAACAAGTAACATTAAACAGGTAAAGAAACCTTTTCCAAATGTTTCAGGGCTAGACCTATACTTTATAGATCAATGGCACAAGACAGGTGATGTGTTCAGCATCACAGCGGCAAACTTTACTTACCAGGACTGCACCCGGTACCCACTCAAGGCTTGGTCGACATGACAGCTAAGGTAAATTTTTAAAAAAAAATCCGTCTTCGCCAGGGAGCGAACCTACAACCTTTCTATTCACAGACAAGCGTCTAGCCACTACACCACGGCGACTAACATAAACTATATTGCAAACAAAGAAAGGATCTGGCCGAAACTCTACGCACTGAGGGAAAGGCAATATTATCAAACTTCTGCTGGTACCACTAGTATAGGAACTATCTACTAAAGAGGACAGAGCACTTATGGGAATGTCTCGAGTGCTGTGATGTCGCTTCTTGAATCAACTCAACTCAACTTTTTGAGAGGATCTTCATTACCGGCTTCACTTACCGACAAGTGTTCTGATCTTCTCATGGGCATGATCCTTTTTTTGTGTGGTAACTTTAACGCCGAAGAGTGGTAGTGATTCAACACCTATCATCATGTTCTTCTTCTTCTTTTTCTTCTTCTTCTTCTTCTTCTTCTTCTTCTTCTTCTTCTTCTTCTTCTTTTCTTCTTCTTCTTCTTCTTCTTCTTCTTCTTCTTCTTCTTCTTCTTCTTCTTCTTCTTCTTCTTCTTCTTCTTCTTCTTTCTCCTCTTCTTCTTCTTCTTCTTCTTCTTCTTCTTCTTCTTCTTCTTCTTCTTCTTCTTCTTCTTCTTCTTCTTCTTCTTCTTCTTCTTCTTCTTCTTCTTCTTCTTCTTCTTCTTCTTCTTCTTCTTCTTCTTCTTCTTCTTCTTCTTCTTCTTCTTCTTCTTCTTCTTCTTCTTCTTCTTCTTCTTCTTCTTCTTCTTTCTTCTTCTTCTTTCTTCTTCTTCTTCTTCTTCTTCTTCTTCTTCTTCTTCTTCTTCTTCTTCTTCTTCTTCTTCTTCTTCTTCTTCTTCTTCTTCTTCTTCTTCTTCTTCTTCTTTCTTCTTCTTCTTCTTCTTCTTCTTCTTCTTCTTCTTCTTCTTCTTCTTCTTCTTCTTCTTCTTCTTCTTTCTTCTTCTTCTTCTTCTTCTTCTTCTTCTTCTTCTTCTTTCTTCTTCTTCTTCTTCTTCTTCTTCTTCTTCTTCTTCTTCTCTTCTTCTTTCTTTCTTCTTCTTCTTCTTCTTCTTCTTCTTCTTCTTCTTCTTCTTCTTCTTCTTCTTCTTCTTCTTCTTCTTCTTCTTCTTCTTCTTCTTCTTCTTCTTCTTCTTCTTCTTCTTCTTCTTCTTCTTCTTCTTCTTCTTCTTTCTTCTTCTTCTTCTCTTCTTCTTCTTCTTCTTCGTCTTCTTCTTCTTCTTCTTCTTTTCTTTTTCTGTACGTCCTATTTCTTCCGCTTCGAATATCAAAGCAAAATCATGCCCTGCTGCGTGCCCTTCTGGCTGCTTCGACCATAGACATATCCTGATGCTGTAGAGTTCCTCTGTTGCTATCTTTCCATGTGTTCTTGGTCTACCTCTTGTTCTACGTCCCTCTCCTCTTTTGGTATATGCATTATATGGTATAGCACCAGAAGGCATTCTTTCCAAGTGGGCAAACTATTTGATTTGCTGTCTTTGTATGTAATTTAGAACTAGTTCTGTACCGACTTGTTCTCGTATGACCTCATTCGTAACTTTAACTCTTCTGTTCACTCCTACAATCATTCTCAGACGCTCATCTTTGGATCCAGAAGTCTAGAACTCCTGACAGAGCCGCACTTCTTGGAATGTCTAATCCATACTCTGAATTCAGCCTGTTGACTAAAACAAAATTAGGGGTCGCCTTCATAGCTTCAAGTCTTCCAATGTTGTTCCGTTTTTCTACATAGAAGTAGTCATCTGACTGTCGAAAGCGTCGCAGAAAGCACGAACCCTGTAGGTCCATCAACAATACCCAGGGATCTCCGTATTAGCTAAACGCGTCGTATACCAAACACACCACCTTTAGAGCGCCAGGCAAACGAGATGGCCACTTCAAAAAATACAATATCAAGCATGTCGTAAGAGTCGACTAACTGGTGCCTTTCTTTAAATTTGAAGTCCATTTGAATGAGATGCGAGGGACCAGCAGTTTGCACATAAATAAGCCAGATATGTGAAACGACTAAAGTCTACAAGCGGGTTCTCAACCATAACTCTCATTGGGAGTTTACAGCTAGCGAAGAGAAAGAAAAAGAAGAAGATGATGATGATGATGATAAAGACTACAGATAAACTCCAATGACTGCATGCACTAGTATTTCTCTGAATGCGGTCAGTTGTGTGTTTATATTTGCAGACATAATACTTGAAGGATCTTCTCCATCTGATCCAGAATATCTCCGCAAAATGAAACAATTGTATCAGTCTTGTATGGACGAAGGTAAGTCTAGAAACTAAAACCTCCAACATGTTGTTGTTAGTCCATCACAAGTGAGTCTTGTCATTAATTGCATCCACTAGGAAGAAGCAGCAGGTTTGTGAGTGAGCAAATGGTTAATACCTTGTTTGGGAAATCCTGTCACCAGAAGTTCTTGTGCAGTATGGAAGATTTTATATGGGCAACATCATTCTCATGAAAAAACTGACGATTGTATCTAGCATTTCTCTGTTGAATTGCTGCTGCTGAAGACATGGTAGTTTCACATGTCGCTGCTACATGAAAAAGATATCAGCACCTGGATGTACTGTCGTTTCCCATTAGAATTATCACTACCATACGTTTTCAATAAGATCTTTAGATTATTTTTTAAACATTTTATTTGTCCACCTTGGTTACTGAAATTTGGTACCATATCATTCTTGCAAAACATAAACTGATCAAATCAATTACTATTAACTGAATTTTTTGACATTTTTCAGTCCTAGTCTTATTTCATTTCCTCATTTTTAATTTGAACTTTTGGTTACTTCAGCAAATCAAATTATTGAACAAATGTCAACAGTTTTGCTTAAATAAAAAGGTTAACAGTTGACACCAAAAATAGCAATGTTTAATACAGAAGTACATATGAAAATTTTGTTATCAGAGCCAAATGGAACATTAACAACAAAAGACTAAAGAAAACTCGAAAGAACAGAAATGAAATATTTAAGCTGTATCCTAGATGTAACCAGAAAAGACAAGATAAGACATGACCTTATCAGGAAATAAGGCCGGGAACTAGTACTAAACCACATTAAGAGACAACAGATCAAATGGTTGGGACATCTGCCAAAACTGTCACCAAACAGTGCATCACGGAGAACTAAGACATAATGGAAACAGATAAAGAGGTCGACCATGCAGGTCATGGATAGATGAAATATCCGAGACCGTAAATACTAGCATCTGTATAACACAATGTCAGACTCTCACCAGATGCCTTTACAAGACCTAACACTGACAGACAATACAGGACTAGAGAAGGAGAAGAAGACGTTACTATGTCAGCCTTTCGAAGTTATGTCATCACGGTTACTTGAGTGTACTTTTCTGTAAAAGAGTCTTTAGGTCCGTGGCTGGTTTAACATGCAGCCTAAATGCTTTTCCCAGCGTAACTGGGAATGTTAAAGAATTGTGTAGACTCTGGTTAGGGCAGTTTATTCGAACATAACAGCATCAAGGATGTTAATTGTCAACTAATGATTGGCAGCTTCCAAAGACAAACTGTGTGGAAGTGACATCAAATTGGCACTATGCCAGTTGTGCATGCTTTCAGAAGTACTAGAAGGAATATTGCTTTACATACTTTGAACAAAACTTTGTTCGAAGGCTTGTGTTACTTCTGTTCCAAACATTAGAGTATTGTCTGCCAAAGGCACTCCTAGATTTAGAGGTCCTGACATTTATGTCTTGATCAGTTTTCCCACTGTTAGAGCATGAGACTGACAAACATACATACATACATACATACATACATACATACATACATACATACATACATACATACATACATACATACATACATACATACATACATACATACATACATACATACATACATACATACATACATACATACATACATACATACATACATACATACATACATACATACATACATACATACATACATACATACATACATACATACATACATACATACATACATACATACATACATACATACATACATACATACATACATACATACATACATACATACATACATACATACATACATACATACATACATACATACATACATACATACATACATACATACATACATACATACATACATACATACATACATACATACATACATACATACATACATACATACATACATACATACATACATACATACATACATACATACATACATACATACATACATACATACATACATACATACATACATACATACATACATACATACATACATACATACATACATACATACATACATACATACATACATACATACATACATACATACATACATACATACATACATACATACATACATACATACATACATACATACATACATACATACATACATACATACATACATACATACATACATACATACATACATACATACATACATACATACATACATACATACATACATACATACATACATACATACATACATACATACATACATACATACATACATACATACATACATACATACATACATACATACATACATACATACATACATACATACATACATACATACATACATACATACATACATACATACATACATACATACATACATACATACATACATACATACATACATACATACATACATACATACATACATACATACATACATACATACATACATACATACAT